GGGGGGGGTGACTCAAACTGTTGGAGGTAGTGAACCTTTAAATTGTGCCCCTTCCCCCCATTCTCAGCAGGCATCTGTCATCTCTGGGAGAAGCCCGTAGCTCCACCACCCCGCTGCAGGGCAGAAGCCTCGAGCTCTTACCCCCTTCTCCCCCAGTCTGATAAGCAGAGAATGGAGGGTATGGGGGGCTCCGCAAGCTGCACTTTTAACTGTAAAAGAGCAACATGCAATTCACGAGCCACGTTTTGGCCACCCCTGCTATAGCCCTAGTGCTAGAAGATGTCAGTTGGTTTTATTTGTGTTCCTGTTGAGAAGTACAAAACAGCCTGGCCCTTTGGAGCTGTTCCATAATTGGAAGAAATAGGCACTCAGTCAGATTATTGCCTTAGCTCTAACATGCCCAGATGAAAATCCTGTTCTCCTCTACTGTGTCCTTTAGACTCAATGTGAAGTGCTGATTACCTCTAATTGAAGCTGTTTGAAGTCTGTTATCTTAGTTCTATGATGCCTTATTTACTCTAAGAAATCAGATGAATAAATTAACTGGCTAGCTAATTGCAATTGCCTTGTTTTTGGTGTGAGAGAGAGTCAGAGGTGAGGAATTTTTCAGAGCCCTTTCTGCTTTATAAAAAGTTCTAATGTATTGCAAACAAAATAAGGGAGGAAAATAATATTCTCAAGGCTTCTGGTGCAACACCCTAATACTGGTAAAAGTGTTACCAAATTTATTTAAAGTGAGTTTGGCATTGGAATGGAATGAGAGCCCTGGAGCCTGAAGTCCTAACTCTACAGAAGAGGCGTAGCATGGGCAGCAGCAGGGTAAGCTTTCCCTTGTCCTCTTTTTTGCCATTGTACTTCTACTCTTCCTTGCAGTGATCACTTGTCAGATTGAGAGTCTCCATGGCTCATTCAGACCTGGGTGTCTGTGCTGAGACTGCCAAAAATGGTGACTGTTAATGGTGGCTTTTGTGACACACATTCTTAAGGAACTGGACTGATACCTGTGAATAAATTTCACATAGGTCACCAGACAGCTGTCAGATGGTACTGACTTCTAATCACTATTGACCTAAAGTGGATTAAACTAATAACATTACCAACTCCCTGAATCGTCCGGTCCTTTCTAGGTTTGTGTGTGTGAGATCCTGTTCTTTAACATGCTGTTCTGTACTTCATTGTGTTTGCTGAATAATTATATAGGGGAGGAAAGAGGTTTAAAAGCTCATTAAGGAGCTTGTTTAAACCAGGTTTTGAGATCAAACTGTTCTACATTGTACAGTTTAATACTCTATTTATAGTTCACTTTTTATTTTTTGTCTCCTGTTTCTCTAAAATAAATGCTGAAAGTTAGCCGGGTTTGGTAATGCGCATGGCTAGCAGGCTAGTCTTTCTGTCATCTTTAAAAGACTTAATAAAAAATTTCAGTTTGGAATTTTATCATTAGCATCGTCCTGCTGTTTCTAGAAGATGCCTGTTTTGATGATGGGTAACCCCCTTCCAGCATAAACACTGCTCTCTGCACCTTCTCTCCCACAAATCCTCACTTAACCCCTCATTGGCCAACCCCACCCCCTCAGTTCTCCATGGTACAATGAAGAATCAAAGGCAGCAGGGTGGTGATTGTCCTTGTGAGGGGAGATATATGTGCAGGAGAGAGGGTGGCTCTGGGTGGAGTGGGAACCAGGGCCCTCTGAGGGTCCTTAATGCTGAGGTTTTGATATTTGAACACCACTAAGGCAGCACTGCCATAGGGAGCCCTTGTTAGGCCAATACCTCTGTGCAGAGGCAGTTCATTGCCTAGTGTTGTCTGGTGTGCCAGAGATCCAGTGTTGCACATACACAAACTAGAAAGTGAACCAAACCTGGGTGTAGTTGGCTTGTGGTCAATAAGAAATGCAAGGGGAAAAACGTATGTTTGCTTAAATGGAGAAATGTGAAATGAGTGGGCAAAGATGTACCATTCTCAGGCCCCCCTTGTTAATCTCCACAGTGGGCATTCTCTCTCTCCACAGCAGCTGGGGACAAACCATGCCTTTGCTCTGAGCCTGGGCTTAGGACCACCCCTTAAGAAGAACTCCCCAGAATTCTCTGCTCCCAAGCAGCGCACTCGGCAGATTCCAGGGCTTCTTTTGTAGCAGAACTTTCACAGGATTTTCAAAAGACTTTAAACTAAGGCCACGTCTACACTGTCAGCTTCGGTTGACACAAGTTACGTTGGCATAAATCTGCCGCAGTTAGTATATCGCTTGTGCATGTGTATACTTGGCTCCTTGGTCCGCGCTGTTTGTACTCACCAGGAGTGCTTGAGTCGATGCACAGTGCAGTACATCATAGGTACGTATCCCAGTACGCAGCCCACCACCATCAAGCATTCCATCTTTTGGGAATTTTGGGCAGTGCATGGTGGGACAGAAGCAAGTCATGCAGGAGTGACTGGGAGCAAGGGATCAACTTCCCAGCATCCAATTGTCTCCACCGCATAGTGTCATCTATATCCCATAATTTTTGCACTTTTTAAAAAATCCAATGAACTAGTTCGAATGTCTATCACCTCTTATGGAAACATGGAGCCTGCACATCTCTGTGCTAGTAATAAGCACTGCAAACACAGGATGCACGATCCTCTGGAATTTGCAAAGCCATAAGAAGTATTGAATCATTGGGGAATGAGATGATTTCTTAGATGATCGATTGCTGTGGGACATAGTGAGAACCAATTCGTGGTTGTTGGTGTTATTCATGGAGCCGCTGCAGATGGTGGATCACTGCTTCTGGATCCAAGAAACGAGCACTGACTGGTGGGATTGCAGTGCAGATTTGGGGTGTCGAGCAGTGGCTACAGAGCTTATGGATGCGCAAGATCCCATTCCTGGATCTGTGTGCTGAGCTCACCACAGCTACCAGTCAGTGGGAAATCATTTTGGAGTGGGAAAATCCACTGTAGATGCGGTTGTAATGCAAGTATGCAGGGCCATTAATCATCTGCTACACAGGACTGTAACTCTCAGCAATGTGCAGGACATAATGGATGGATTTGCGGCAATTGGGTTTCCGAACTGTGGTGGAGCAATAGATGGTACGCATAGCCATACTTTCCCACCTGGCCAGAGAGTACGTCAATAGAAAAGGTTACGTGTCTGTGATTATGCAAGTGTTGATGGATCATGTGGGTGGGGGGGGGAGAGAATGAGACTTCATTGACATCAGTATTGGCTGGTCAGGGAAGGTGCATGATGCTTGCATCTTTAAGAACACAGAATTGTTCAGGAAGCTGCAAGCAGCTTCTTTCCCAACCAGCAGATTACCATTGGTGATGTTAAAATGCCGATAGTGATTGTATGGGACCCAGCCTCCCCTTGCTCATGAAGTCATACACCAGCCACCTCGACAGCACCAAGGAAAGATTTAACTACTGGCTCAGCAGGTGCAGAATGACAGTTGAATGTTCTTTTGGTAGATTGAAGGGATGCTGGCGTTGTTTACTCACAATACTGGATCTCAGTGGGGAAAAAAACTTGCCAATGGTTATAGCCGCTTGCTGGGTCCTGCATAATATCTCTGAAGCAAAGGGTGAAAAGTTGCCGCCAGGGTGGTGGATGAAAATGGAGGTGGAGTGGCTTTCTCCTGAGTTTGAAGAGCCAGACGCAAGAGCTATTAGAAGAGCCCAACGTGGAGGTCTATGGCTCAAGGAGGCTTCGAAAGAGCACTTTAACAGTGAGCCAGAGTAACGCATTGTGGTGTACTGTGCTCTACTTGGCCCTGCTGTTTTGGAATCTGTTAAGAATTGTGTGGGACTTGGTGTACATCTATGACTATAACACTGTCCTATTAATTTTGTGGTGCTTGCTGTACATTAATGATTATTACACTGTTTGTCACTGATCTTATGAGTTGTCACACTACAGTAACAAATAAGTAGGTGCTTCCAGAACTGCTAGGCATTCTGCAGTATACATTGTGAACTAATACAGACAAATTATTTTCTAAATAATAGAATTTTATTCATTAACAACACCAATGCAAAGAAAAATCTGTGCAATTTAAAAGAAAATACATAAACTTAATAAATTAATGGAACAGAACTTAAGGGGAAAGAACATTCATGTCCATTTTACCTACACATACAGGAACCGTGGCTTTCACAGGTCAGTGTATATGAAGCTGTGGTTGTCCTTATGGTCCCCTGGGGTGGACTGCTGGAGAAGCCCCAATATGTCTCCTTTTACTACTGGGATTCCTTGGTCTTTCTCCTTTCTGCGCTTTCATTCTCCAGGTGTCTGCAGTGTTCACCCTCCAGGCCCTTTGTTCACGGTCTGATGCGGCACTGGCTTGCAGAATCTCTTTTTTTAAACATGTCATCCTGAGTACTCTCCTTTCTCGTCCTTATCTGGCTCAGGCATTCTGTGGGTGTGTAGGGGGAATCCCTCAGGGCTGCAATGGCAACAGCTGCTGATCAAACACACAAAGGCACTATTGTCAATACAGTCATAACAGAAAATAAAAGTTAAGTTTCAGAACTCCCTTCTCTTGCTCCCCTAAAGTTTTAAACAGGATATACTTACTGACTCTTCTGCTTCGGAGTGCTTGTGCACTGCACCACTCACAGCACGGGTCCCATGAGCCTGGCCCGCCGGGATGAGGAAAATGAGAAGGGAATTGCTCGATTGCCTGAAACTATGAGTGTAGGGCAGTGGCACTGAATACTGGCACCATTTTCCGCAGGCGACAGTGATTTTAGCTGATATCTCAATCCGGAAGGTAACAAAGGCACAGAGAGTACGGCTGTTGCTGGTGACCCGAAGCTGCCCGAAGCTGTATGCTGTTAGTCTGTGTACTGCAACGGTGCCTGCTGAAGTTATGGCATGGGACAGTGTCCTACCAAGGAGGAAGAAATAAGGCTGCCATCCCTTGTAAGCTTTGGGAGAGAGTTGCAGAGTACCCCCATGAAACTTTCATCAAGATCTCTCAGGAGGATTCAAAGCACATTCCTGTATACATAAACAAACTGCTCCGCATGGCCTCCCCTGCCTAATTCTACAGGGCAGATAACTGCTACCTCTTTTAGTGTGAGTAAACTAATGAAAAATCAATAGCTGTGTCCTGTTAAGTTGGGAGTGCCATCAGTACATCATTGTAACGGGAAATACAATTACATGTTTACCTGTGGTTCCTTCCCCTGCATCAAGCCCGCCCATGCTCGACTGCTGGGACTGACTGGACAGTGGTGGAGTATCAAACAGGTCCAGACTTGCAGCGTAGCTGGACCTCCCAGTCGCATGTCCCCCACGCTCCTCCTTGTTGTTCATGCCAGGGGCCTGTCGCTCAGGTTCCTTGATGGTATCCATAGTGGTGTGTGGATGGTGGTGAGGCCTCCGCCAAGTATGGCATGCTGCTTTTTGTAAAAGCATCATGTCTGTGTCTTGGCTCCGGATCCAGTGTTGGCCTCAGGCCTTCTGATATTTTACATTCACATGGCACTGCTGCTGGTCTCCGTCATACCTCTTTTCCTGCATCCCCTATGCAACCTGCTCAAAGATGTTCTTGTTTCTACAGCTGGTCCATAGCTGTGGTTGCACAGCCTCTTCTCCCCACAGACCCAGGAGATCCAATATCTTCCGTCTACTCCAAGCCAGACCATGTCTGGAGTGTGTAGCAGGCATTGTCAGCTGGGCAGTTGCACGCAACCATGGAGAGCTGCGGTTGTGTGCTCGCCAAGCTGCACAAACAGGAAAAGACATTTCAAAAATTTTCGGGCTTTAAAGGGAAGGAGGATCTTCTGGTCTTCGGGACCCCTGGGCAGTGGAGTTCACAATTGTGACCAGAGTGATCAGTGTCCGGCATTGTGGGACAGCTCCTGGAAGATTGTTAGGGTTGACATAAGTAATGCAACTCGTGCTGCATCAACCTCAATATATTGACCGTGTCTCAGTGCTGCTCGGGGAAGCGGTGTTACTACATCGCTGTAAAGGGACACTTACTTCGGTGGGAGACAAATTTAAATGTAGACACATGCACAACCAGGTCAACACAAGGCATCTTATGTTGGCCTAACTTTGTAGTTTAGGCGAGGCCTAAATGTTTGAGGGTTTTTTCCTCAAAACTGCTAAGCTAAAAAACCCAAACCAGACTTGGCTTTCTGTGGACCTCTCCTCTCTTCCCCTTTCGAAAAATGGTTGGCAGACAAACTGCAGGACTCCAGTTCTCAGCTGGAATGTTGGAGAGTTCCACAGTAACAGAGGTCGAGCAGCTTACAGGAAAGAGTGGCTCACGCCGACATGTAGACAAGATCCACGTTGAGACAGTTTAGCAGGCCAGCCGGTCACATGGAAACTTACTTCAGTGAAACCAGGCCAGAATCAGTAGGTTTTCACCGTCCTTCAGCTGTTCCCTTTTGTATGGGACCCCTATTCCCACAGCTTTTAGAGCTAGCAGGATAGTTTCAGTGGAGCCTCTTGAATCTTGGGGAAAGGCAAGGTACCCCCCGGTAAGCCAGAGGAAGAAATTCCTGCTCCCAGCCAGCATGTAGGCAAGGTCTGTGCTGAGATGATTGAGAAGGCCACAAAGCATCCACCCCCTCCTCCCTTCCTACAAGCTGTTCTACCTGAAAGAGGTCAGCTGCAGTGAAAGGTGCCAGCTACTGCAATCTCTCTGGTACAAATGAGTAATTTGTCTTTAGTGGCCCCAGCTCATTCCTCATTTTGTGCAGTTGGTCCCCACTCAGTAGGGTTGCCAGTCTTGGTTGGTCATATTCCTGGAGGTGTCATCACATGACATAATCTTTAATTAAATATTAATTTTTTTGGCATCCCTACTACTCAGCCCAGACCCAGCAGCAGGGATCATGAAGTGAAGTGATTCAGCTTGCATTCCCTGGGAGATGGACCTGTCTCCTCTCTCCTCCCAGCTCCTAGGGGTCCCACAGGAGATCATAAAGTGGCTGCTGTTTTCCTTAAGGAGACAGGTGGGATACATGCCTGCAGACTGTTGTTTTAATCTCCTTGGTAATGTGCTGGCCTCCTTCTCTCAGGAGTTTGATGTAGGGACTAGTGAAGGATATTGCCCACAATCAGTTTTCAAAGGGGTAGCCCAAAGTCCTAAAACCTCTCATAAGAGATCTGTCTAGATCCTCTAAAGAGGAGAAATATCTAAAGTTTAAGATTTGAGCCAGGTACCTCAGACTCAACTAAGCTTCCCAGAATTATGAATGAATAGGGGGTCTAACTTCACAGGTACTTACGGTTTTAGAAAATGAAACACCCAAGCAAGCAAACAAACCCAACGCTCTACAAAGTTGAAGAGCTGTGTAATTGTTCCTCACCTGGTTTATGAAGGTGTCATTAAGGTGGAGAGGGAATTCCCTATCCTGGCCTACTTGTACCTGAAGACTAAAAGGTCATAATTAATCTGCCTAAGGTGAAGCCTGCCACAGCCTCCTCAGTAAAGGCCATGGTCATACCAACTGAGGGAGTATTCTTGTCAAACCCACAGTCAGAAAAATAAGATCATAGAGAATTGTAGGACTGGAAGGGACCTTGAGAAGTCTTCTAGTCAAGTTCCCTGCACTCATGGCAGGGCTAAGTATTATCTAGACCATCCCTGATAGGTGTTTGTCTAACCTGCTCTTAAAAATCTCCAATTACAGAGATTCCACAACATCCCCAGGCAACTTATTCCAGTGCTTAACTGTTCTGAGAGGAAGTTTTTCCTAATATCCAACGTAAACCGCCCTTGCTGCAATTGAAGCCCATTGCTTCTTGTCCTGTCCTCAGAGGTTAACTAGAACAATTTTTCTCCCTCCTCCTTGTAACAACCTTTTCTGTACTTGAAAACTGTTATGTCCCCCCTCAGTCTTCTCTTCTACAGACTAAATACCATTTTTGCAAGGTATTCATCATCAAACTGAACTTGGATACAGCAGCCTCAGCTTTGAGAGTATTGGCTGCAGTTTCTTATCGTACAGGTCTAGAGATACTCAATTGGGAGGCTGTTGTTAGCATGCGCACTCCCGCACACACCCATTCTCAGTTTTCCTAGCAATTTTTTTCAGGACTAATTCTTCACCTGGCTGATATGCTGTATATTCAAAACTTCCAAAGACATGTCTCATGGCAACTGCAGCTCCTGCCAAAAAATTGGAAAAGCAGGTTGATCTCTTTCAAAATACTCTGCTGGTAATCTTTTCTGGGAGCATAGACAGAAAACAGTCATTGAGGCTTTAGAAAAGGTAATAAGTCCCTTCCCTCCTTCTAGTGAGAGCAACTTCAAACTGTCTTATCTCAGCAGGTTTTTCCTCTGAAGTGCTGCTCCTCCAGGTTCAAGTTAAAGATTACACATTAGGAGGCGGCCATTGCTGCCTTGAGAGTTGGAAGACCAAAGCTGATATTCTCTTGAAAACTATGCAACTCCAAAAGTTTCTTTTGATTTTTTTTTTTTTTTTTTGAGGTTCCGAAGTCTAGACAGATTCCTCCCCTTTATGAGGAATGCTTCAGGTGGGCCCTGGTCTGGAGTGATCCACCTCAGAAATAATTACTGAAGAATAATCAATAGAACTCGCTGTCCCAGGGACAAGCTTATCCTTTCCCCAAAGTAAATTAAATTAAATCAACATTATCAATGGGCGCTTCATAGCATCAGAAGATAAAGGGTATAATAGGTCATCTTCTACACATTGGAAGGATAGAACCAGTTCCATAGAGAGTCAGATATTTTGTTATGGGCACAAGATTCTTTGTGGCAACAAGTTCATGAGGAAATCAATATTTCAAGTAGAAATACTGAAATCTATCATTACAGCATTATCTTCTGTGGTAAAGACCTCAATATTTATGCAAAAATGGTATTCATCATTATTTTAATGTACTCTTATGATGTTAGATTATTACAAACTTGTTTGCACCTTTACTGAATCTTAGGATGTAGTTACAATTGTTCTATCCAGGATTCTTGGAGACTATACCAATGCTTGCTGCGAAGACTCTCTGACATGGAGGGTCCTAGAATGAAAATTCACACGTAAAACAGAATTTTTCCCTTTTCCAGTTCTTGAGTATGATGAATATGAGAATAAAAACATATAAATAGCCTATTTCCCAGCATGTAAAAAGTCCTTTCCTGCTGTAAAAACCAATCACGTCGCTCTTTCCTCCCCACTACCTCCAGTTGTTAATTGGCTTGGCCATGTGCTAGTTCAGCCAAAGCTACTGGGCTTTGAAACAAGAATTAATTCAGATAAGTCCTTTGTTATGTAGGAGGTAAGATTAGATGATGGCGGTGGCCCATCTGGCCTTATGTTTTATAAACATGGTCATATAAAGTTTTTGTTTTTCCCCTTTGTATAGGGATATCCCAATGCCGCTAGTCAGCTCAGGAGTGGAGCATGGTAACCTGAGAGAACTTGCCTTGGCCAGGATGAAGGATCTAGGGACAGAGGTAAAAGATCGGCAACCTTATGCCCAGGAGGAGCTCCCTGCTGGTTACACTGCGTGACTGATTATTGTGTTTGTGAACAGGAGGAGAAAAATGGCAAAATGAGAGGAACGTGAACTATAGGAGCCAGATTTGCTGCTCAACTAAAGATGACCTGCAAAGGAAAATATTGGGGTTTTGTCCTTTTTGTTTGTTCATTTTCTGATAGGTAAAGGAATACCTCAAAGATTTTTCCAAAAGAGCTGATGTTTTGCTTGATTTCTACATTAAAAATTTAGATTTTCCCCTGCAAGATACAGGATGACCAGAGAACTAGGAGGTTTGTGACATCTTGGCTACTAAGGACATTTCTAAAGTGAGAGAGGGAAGTTTTTTATGCAGACTGTTGACAGCTTTTTAAAAAAATTATTCAACTCAAACACCTAACAGTTAGTTAGAAGAAAAGCTCTTTGCTAAGGATTTAGCGTCTTTATCCTCCTCAGTAGGGTTGAGAAACCTTCCACGGAACACTTCCAGCAAAAACAGATATGATGATGAATCTTAATATTCAGCCTATTTCTAAGAATTAAAAAAAAAGTAGGTGGGGGAAAAATCTCCTTTATACATTTAAAAAAAAGCAAAAAAAGGGGCTCAAACCCAATTTTGTTTTCCGTGGCAGGCTACCTTTAAAGAACTGAATCTCTAAACATTTCTACTGTGCGGATGACTATAGGTCTAAATTTACTGGGGCAGAAGCCTTGCAGCTGGTAGAGTGAGCAACCAAAACAGTTTTTCAAATTGTCACTTGAAGTACAAGATACCAGTGAATTTTCCTTGTATCTACTGGAGGTATAACATTATAAATAAACAGCTTTTTTAAGGGCCACGATAGTTGGGACTGAATTCCCACAAGAAACCTAGGTATTTTAGGTATGTAGGTTCATAATTAGAGGGTGCCCAGGCTCCTCAGCTCTGCCCTCTTGGCAATTTCAGCTTTCCCTCTTTGTTCCGTCTCTGTGACTAATACTTGTATTACTGATTGGGGCAAAGAATTGGAGGGCACAGCCCTGAAAAATGCTGTGCACTCTCAGGACTAGGGCCCTTAATGAAGAGTGGGGAATTGTCTGTCTTCTGCATGCCATTGGTCTAGTCAGGAATTTGTAAGGCAAAGTAGATTTTGTGCATATGACCGTAAAGAAGGCCAGATTTAGCATAATCACCATATAAGAATAAAGCATGCCAGTTTTTAAGATCATAGCAAAGATTAAATTATTTCACTGTATATACTATAGTCTGAGTTTGATTTTTTTTTTTAAGGCATTGTAGGGGGTGTTGTGATGCAAGTAGAGTCATTTGGATGCCTTGGAAATCAAGTTCCATGTGGGTTTAGTCTTGACTTTGGATTTTCAGGGTTTTCTTATTTGTGCTATAAAAACAGTCTGTCTTCAGAAAAGTTTTTCTCCTCAAGACTTCTCTCATGGGGCTTGGTTTGCACTGATTACAAGAAGAGATACAAAAGACTTGTGCAAGCTACAATCAAGCTCGCTAACATGGAGTTCTGTCTCTTGTTCCCTCCGACTACCAAGGAGCTGTAAAGTTTTGTAAAGCTCCCTGGCTTTTCTCCGACGCCTTGGGCCATTGGTCCCAAACCTCTCACGGTTAGTCCATCCTGTACATCTGTGGGACACTTGACCAGAGAGTTAACCGTCTACCTACATGCCGATTTTGGCATTAAAAATCAGTTACCCAGATTTACAAATTGCCTGCTCAAGAGTATCTCTGGCACACTAGGTTAGATTTTTCCAATTCTAGATCTCTCTGGTGAAGGACCTGACAGACTGGAAATAAGGCATAAATTTTTAACAGTGAGAGTAACAATTTACCAAGGGTCATGGTGGATTCTCCATCACTAACAATTTTAAATCAAGATTGGATGTCTTCCTAAAAGATCTGCTCTAGGAATTATTGTGGGGAAGTTCTATGGCCTGTGCTTTATTATATAGGAGATCAGACTAGAATCACTAGAAGATTGCAATGTTCCCTTCTGGCCGTAGAATCTATGATAATGTTAAATCTTTCTTGCTCTTTCATATCTGTTGACTTTTCCCCTCCAAGCCCTGCTACTTGCAAATCAAATGGTACCTTTTCTCATGAGATGTAATGGTTACTCAGTGAATTGATTGTTATCAGCATGTTTTTACATTTAGCACAAAGTTCTTTTTCTAAGGTACATTAGGGATGGCTCAATGAGCATTTTTATTTTGAAGTCTATTTATTCAAATTCTACCAGTGTAAGACAGGCTATTTCAACTTAATTTTGAGCCCATGGGGTGATTGGAAATCTTAATGTATTTGAGCTGCATGTATTCCTCTGTTTTATGTAATTTTTCTCTCCCTCTTTTCCTAGTGTCGTGATGTGAGGACAAGAGAGGTTGGAATACAAGAGATTCATCATAAAGTGAGACCATATCAGGTGAGACTTGTTGCTTCCCTAGGAGCTTGCTTCAGACGTGACTTGCTGTGAAACATTTGGTATGAAGGAGTTGGGACTCAATTGTACAGCCAATTCTGCAATACGCCTATGTAGCTGGCTCCAGTTTTTCATCCATTTTCACAGCAGATTTGCATGTTATTGTTTAAGAAGATACGTTCACATGCTGAAACTTATGTACCACCATGTTCAATAACCTAGCGATAGCCACCCGTATTTCAATATTCCCGCTGCAGTAGCAGAATCCCCAGTTCATCAGCTGTCTCCACTCCTTGCCCCCATTCCTTTCTTTTTTCTAGTGAAAAGTATATTTAGAAAATATAGAAAGCACAATACTTGTAGGTTGAACAGAAAGAAAATTAATTGTTTGAGGTTGTATAATGTGTATATATATCCTCTATTTTTGTCACTATACCAATACCTACAATATTATAATAAAATGTGGCTGCTATCTGAAACAAATAAAAATAATAAAATCAATAAACTACAATAAAGTGTAACCAGTAAATACATATGGATGTACATCTCTTTAGAGGATGATGCTTATATATTGCCCTTCATTCTAGGATCTTAAAGCTGTTCATAAAAATGGATGCTAACCAGTGTTCCCTCTTAATTTTTCCCCACCTTCATATTGGTGCACATAACAAAATTCATGTGGTGGGGGTGGGTCCGAGGGGTTTGGAGTGTGGGAGGGAGCTCAGGGCTGGGGCAGAGGGTTGGGGTGCAGGGGTGTGAAGGCTCCAGCTGGGGGTGTGGGCTCTGGGGTGGGGCCGTAGATGAGGGGCTCAGGGCTGGGGCAGAGGATTGAGTGCAGGGGATGAGGGCTCTGGCTGGGGGTGTGGGCTCTGGGGTGGGGCTGGGGATGAGGGTTGGGTGCAGGTGGTGAGGGCTCCAGCTGGGAGTGTGGGCTCTGGGCCGGGGATTAGGGGCTCAGAGGATCAGGGCTGGGGCAGAGGATTGTGGTGCGAAGGGGGTGTGGGCTCTGGGGTGGGGCCAGGGATGAGGGGCTCAGGGCTGGGGCAGAGGGTTGGGTGCAGGGGTGTGAGGCCTCTGGTTGCGGGCTGTGGGCTGGGGATTAGGGGCTCAGGGCTGGGGCAGAGGATTGTGGTGCGAGGGGGGTAAGGGCTCTGGGGTGGGACCAGGGATGAGATGTTTGGGGTGCAGGAGGGTGCTCTGGGGCTATGTCGGGGAGAGGGGGTTCTCCCCACCCCTCTCTCCCCACAGCAGTTCCTGGGCTGGGGGGGGGGGGGGGGGGGGGGCCCCCCCCCCCCCGCGGGGGGCTGGGGGCCGCAGGGAAGGGGCCCCCCCCAGCAGGTCTGGGCTGGGGGAGGGCCGCCCCTGCCGCACCTGGGTCCAGCTTCTCTGGCTGCGCTGGTGCCAGCCCGGGGCGGGACACGCCACCCTGGCTGTACCTGGGTCTGGGCTGCTCCGGGGTTGGACCATGCTGCCGCAGCTGGGTCCAGGCCACTCCTGCTGTGCTGCACCAGCAGGTCCAGGCGCCGTGGCCATGGCAGGTCTGGGCCGCAGACTGTGTTGGGGCTGGGGAAGGGCGCCCCCCCCAGCCATGGCAGGTCCCTGGGCGGGTTCCCTGAGCTCCTACGCGGCGCTAAATAGGCTGCTGCGCGGCCACACAGTTTATAGGGAACTTAGATTCTAACCCTCTTTTACAGAAGGAAAAACATGCACATAGAGGTTAAATTACGTTTTAAGATCACACAGTGATTCAAGAAGACCAGGAAATAAAATCTGTTTCCTTAGTATTCTATTCTAACTACTAGACCATGCTGCCTCCCAAAATAATTATGGCACTTTTAAAATCCAGTTTATCATCTAACAATCCACTTGTAGGATGCCTCTTTCACATGTTTCTCTACTTTCAAACACAAATTAATCATGCTTCCTCTTCTTCCACATTCAATCCTAGATCAGAGCTACACTTAAGTGCATCTCTGAACTTCTCCACTTTGTCTCTGCATGGGGGGGCTGTCTTATTTTGCAAGCGAGGTGATCAGTGGTTTAAATGCTGTTTCCTGCTCTTTGCTTGCCATTGTAAAGAGCCAAATAGAATAGAAAGCTAGTCATCTCACTGGTAAATGCATTATGGAAACAAATTTTATAATGCAAAATAAATTCTATCATCGATTTTTGTTGACTTCAGGCACTAGTCTCATAAGTTCAGTGCAAAGCGGGACATGCAGCCACCCTCTGTCTTCCTATTGTCCTTTAGCCATTGCACAAAATATCTTCCACACAGACAAACGTGCTGTCATCAGAGGCTCTAAGCTATCTTGAGTTGTAAGCTCCATGGGTAGTTAGTGAATAGCTCACTACAGCATTTTCAAAACAATGCTATTAATACTCCAACACTCCTTTTGTTAAACTGTCTCTCCTTGGTCTAGATAATGACAATCCTATGCCACTGAATCTCAGAAAAAGATCAATAGGAACCTAGAGATAAAATGCATGAAAAGCAACTTGTTTATTATTTATATTATTGTAATGCCTAGGAGCTCCAGTTATGGTCCGAGAACGCGCTGTGCTAGGAGCTGTACAAACACTAAACAAAAAAACAGCCTACAATCTATGTACAAGACAAGAGACAACAGATAGATAGAGACAGGGGAGTACAAGGAGACAATATCGGTCAGCATCAAAGGCAGTAGTCTCAGCACACCAGCAACCTAGCCATTGTCGAGCTTGTTGTAGGCCTCGTGGCAAAGGTGAGTGTTGAGGAAGATTATGAAGGAGGGTAATTAGTAAGTTTTTTGCAGATATTTACAGGGAGCTCTTCCCCAGCATGAGGGGCTGCATGGGAGAAAGCACCAAGATGCCCATTTGAAAATTTAGCAAATGGGCAATAAAACATCAGCCTGTCGCATTTGATAATTTGATCTGATGACGTGCAGTGATATTTCCCTTGCCTTTAAAAACTAACGATTTCCTTGATAGAGGAGGTAATCGTAGATCTAATGTAATTAAATCTGTTCACTGAATCTACTTAAGATTATATAAACATCTTTCCTTTTGTAGAAGGTTAGTAAGTTGTATCTGTTTTAGAATCATGATGTGTCTGTTTTTTAAAATTATTTTTAATTGGTTTTAAAAATCCATTGGAATAAAAAATATTTACGATTGGTTATTTACAAAGCTATTTCTGGGTTCCTTTTCAATTGGTAACATTTCTCATTAGTAGTAGACAAGGCATTTGTTTGCTCTCAAAATGGCCTTGAAGTGTATGTAGTGCAAATATATCATGAATAGCTTTTTAAAAAAATGTCTAGTGAATGTTCTTGCTGGTGAATGTTCTTGCTGGCTGGACAGCTTTGGAGACTAAACTCCGTCATTTATTCACAGAATGGCAACTGCATGGTCATGGCTAACGCAAACTCCGCTACACATTCTACCTTAACTCTGAAGTGAATGTTTTACCTCTAGGGCAAATGGAAACTGCTCTTCCCCGCCCCCCCCCCCAAAGTGTTTTAGATCAAGATAGCTATCTTGAAGTAGAATCCTAGAGGAGATGAGGCATGGGTCGTTTTTTACCTCGATGTAGCTCGTTGAGGTCAACACTATACATACTGTCCCTTCTCAATGTTCCCCCTTCCTCCCTGATTTACCTTGACTAGCAAACTACCAGTGGCATGTATCTGATAGCTCCCTTGATGCAGCATCCTATCTCAATGTAAAAACCTACCATTTTTGCAGTGAAGACATAGCCTGAAAAGTTCATTCTGTATAAGCCACTTGTCCTAATATTAAAGTCAAGGATTATCAGCAGGGGTACTAGTTATTGCTAACGCTACGTTTATGTCCCAGAAGTCATGGAAGTCACGGAATCCATGACTTCCAGACAGGGCTGGCTCCAAGCACCAGTGCAACAAGCAGGTGCTTGGGGCAGCCAACGGAAAGAGGCGGCACCTACTGCTCTTCGGCGGCGTGTCCCTCAGTTCCTCTCGGAGGGAAGGACCTGCCACCGAAGAATGAAGCGGCGCGGTGGAGCTGCTGCCGAAGTGCCGCCTATTGCGGCTTTTTTTGTTTTTTTTTGCTGCTTGGGGCAGCAAAAACACTGGAGCCAGCCCTGCTTCCAGAGACCTCCCTGACATTCTCTGCTTCAGCCCCAGGGGCTGCAGGACTCTGGAGCTGGCAGCCAGCCAGGCCCTGGCAGTGTTCCAGCAATAGCGACAGGGGCCCCCCTGCAGGGTTCTAGCCACAGGTGACAGGCTCCTGAGGGGGCCCTCCTCACGGTTCCAGTGACGGGCGACAGCCTCACGTGGCGGGGAGAGGAAGGGGGACACCTCGGGTGAGCGGCTGGGGTTGTCCCGTTTTCTCTTTGGGAAATGTCACCCTGCAGCTCCCAGACACCGTGGGCTGAGGTGGGGGGGCCCCTGAAGCTTCCAGCTGCTGCAGGCAGAGGGGGAACCCCACAGCTCCCAGCTACCACAGTGGCAGGGGAAACCATGGAGCTGCAGCAGCAAAAATCAAAGACAGGTCAGACAGTCACAGACAGGCTTCCTTGAATTTTTGTTTATTGCCCGTGACCTGTCTGTGACTTTTACTAAAAATAACCATGACAAAATCTTAGCCTTAGTTATTGCCAGTTGTTTCTTTTTCACATGGACAGTTACACTCTAGGAACTGGATTGAAAGTAACCAATTCATTTCACTGTCGTTAGCTACCAGTCACTTCAGATGTTCACTGTATCTCTTTTCTGTGTCCCTTAGTCATCAAGGCCCCATTAGTAGATTTTCTTTAAATTAGCTTTTTGTATACATGATGTAGGTCTAGCTGTATATTCAACCCACATAGAGCCTCCTGTTTACCTAGGGAAGGGGGTAGAGCAGAGGATCCCATGGAGTCCCCTAGGGACCTTGCTATGCAGATGTAATTTGTCTGGCAAATGCTTAGATACTGTGAAAATGAGCACTATACAAAACTCTGTTAAAAGTTGGAGATTTTTATAATCCTATTTTTTCTCCCAAGCTTTGTCATCTTATCGTTTTAGATGGCAGGTTCTTGAGGACAAGGACTGTTTGTGTTTGGGTAGCACGGAGTACAAAGGAGTTCTCCTTGTTACTGAAATGGAAGAATGTGTCTCATTTATTATTTCTATTTTATTGCTTTTCCTTAATTAGGAAGCCCAGAGTTCATGAAACTTTAAATCTAAAACCTTTTGTGTTAGCTGTGTTAATATTATTTTCTGCCTCCTTTCTTTAGCTGTGAATTAATAAAATCTGTGTAATGAGTGGGTCTTTAAATTAGGCTCTATCTTATAAGGAGAGTAGGTTTTGCCTGCATGGAGCTCATTGCAGGATCTGGGCTTTAGATTGTAAACTCTTTAGAGTTAGAATCTTGTTCTCTTATTTTTCAGTAAACTTTGATCATATTGTTGGTGCTTTATAAATAACAACAGGACTGCTGGATCAACTTTTAGCTCCTCTGTGAGGATCCTCTGCATATTCCTTCTCATGGGGTGCCTAGGCCAGCTCAAGCCATGAGTGTCTATATGTAGAGTCCATCTCGAAGTAACCTTCATTTTCATTATAGGAGTCTGGGCCCGCCTTATTGTATTGTTATATGATGGTAGAAATCTTGGAGAATTCTGCACACATGCAAGATCCATTTGAACTTTTTCACAGATAGCCTCATCACAGTGTTGACGAAGTGAACCTTAATCGGTGTAGTAAGTGAAAGGCCCATTTAGTTTTGGGTTGCATACACAAAGACATATTGATCTCATGAAGCAGAGAGGTAACAGAATCTCACCATTGGCTCTTGTGTGATCAGGTCTTGAAATAGTGCATTCATTTCTGTGTATAATGTTACCAGAAAGATGATGAGTAGGAAAGAGTTCAGAGGGAACCCCACCTCAAAGCCCTTTACTTGAGACTTTTTAAAACAGACTGGACAGAGCACTAGAAAGTGTACATACTACTACAGGGAACAACCCTGCACTGTACTGGCAGGGAAATGGATGTGGGAAAGATCAGCCTAACTTTTGTTATATAGTCAATCAGAAATGTTTATGAAGTGTTTTTTAATCTATATGGATGAAAGGCGCTGTATTAATGAGAGGTCATGCTCACTTGAGTACCTGTCACTGACAGATTAGGAAAGAAGCAGTTTATTACTAATTAGAAGACCCCGATTACATTGCTGGCAAGAGGCTTTTTCTTTTCAGAGCAGTGGAGACTAGGGGCCAAATTCACACATGCTGTCAGCAAGTATAACAGTACTGAAACCAGAGCAATACAATTGTAGTCAGGTCTGAATTTGCCCTTAGATGTTTGAGACCTCTGGTTGGAGAGAAGGAGCTGCTAGTTGTGATACTCTTGGAGCACCAATGGAGGTGAAGTTACCAGAGAGAGATCCAGTCTTCCATTTCTATCTTTTACAACCCCTAGCTACTGTGCTGATTTGGTACTTTCTAAATACCTTATGGGTAGAAGTGTTCAGTACTGAAGAGTAATGATGTCCTCTCCACAAATGTATTTTTCACTGAAGTATGACACATTTTGTCTTTAGGTAAATGCAATTGTAGGTCCTTCAGCTCTTATCTACTGCTGCTAAAATCCATCTAGAATGAAATTGGGCTTTAAGAAAGCACTTCACACTTTTTCTGACCCATAACGGTTTATGGATCCATGAAATTGGTTTTGGTCTATTCAACATGTTGCCTAATTATTTTTTAATAGGATTTTCTTTTCCTCCTCCCCCCTCCTTGTTCTCTTTGAATAGGTTGAGTTAGTTCGAAGAGACTATGTGGCAAATGGTGGCTGGGAGACCTTCCTGTCCTATGAAGATCCAGAACAGGATATTCTGGTTGGCCTTCTGCGTTTGCGAAAGTGTTCAGAGGAGTCATTCAGACCCGAGTTGAAGGGAGGTGTTTCCATTGTTAGAGAACTGCATGTGTACGGTAGCGTGGTTCCAGTGAGCAGTCGTGATCCTTCCAAATTTCAGCATCAGGTATCCATCCTGCCCAGCTTTTTTATTAGAAAGACTAAGAAAAATTTGTGACAATCTTGATGAGACTGGCCATACAGTTACTTTAATAAGAACATAAGAATGGCCATACTGGGTCTGAGCAAAGGTCCATCTAGCCCAGTATCCTGTCTTCCCACAGTGGCCAGTGCCAGGTGCCCCAGAGGGAATGAACAGACCAGGTAATCATCAAGTGATCTGTTGCCCATTCCCAGCTTCTGGCAACAAGAATAATCTGCTGCAATAGAACCAGAATTGAATTTGATCCCCATCTTGTATTAGTATATTAAATTCCTGCCGCCAGTGAGCTTTCACTAATGTATTTGATCACTTGCAGTTATGGTTGTTTCATGGTTGAAAACATGGGTATACTCTTTATCTCTATTGCTGTACATCCATATGATGTAGGCTCATGCATGGTGACACTAGTTCAGCCTTCAGATACTGAAAACCCATAGTTCCTACACTCTCTCTGAGAACTGAGGGGATTAATTAATCTCTAACACACAGATGCAGGAATTGCATTCAGATTTTGGTTCATCTGTCTACCTGATAGGGTGTGAGGAGTGGGGCTGAAGTGAAGTTGAAGGGTATATGATTCAGTCCTAAAAACATAAAATGCATACAAGGTATTTTTTAAAAATATAAAATTATTTAACCTAACACTTTCTCCTAATCAAAGATTGTACATACCAGGGCACTTTACTATTCAGGGATGGGAAGAACACTTTCTGCTTAACATCTTGAGCACTGGTGTCTCTGAATCTACCAAAGTAAGCGTTACTACAGTGCGCATTAGCACGTCATATGCCGTGAAATCTCAATTTCCAGTCCATTTTAATTTGTTTGCATTTGGCTCGATTCAATTGATTTTTCTTTCCCTTTGCTTTTTTACTTATGATGGCCACTTTTTCTGCCCTAGGTTTTGAAATGTTAATTATTCTATAGTCAAAGCGTTCATTGTTTTTATGGCTGCCGCCTCACTGCCTGAGGTCATCACTGTCAAACAAAGTGTTGCATCCTAATGCATTTACACAGGAAAAGATTATTAAATAAAAGGAAGTTAATTTAAAACATCAGTCCTGAGGCTTTCTGGTGCAAAGAATAAATTGATTACTTTTTTCTTTTTTATGATTGATCTAAAGGCTCAGAATTTACCAGCACAAGATCAAATTCACACTCTTCCCATAATAGGCCAAAAGATGTTGTAGGTAGCAGAGGGATGATGCATATAATTTTCATGAGAAAGTCACTGGAAGGAAGTAGTGTGAGAAAGCAAGTGAAGTGTATTTGCTTTCCACCTACATCTTAATATATTTTAGGGTACATGTGAAATGGGGTCAGGGATTTTTCCACAGCTCTGACCAATGAGGCAAGACTGGTAGATTTTACTAAAGAATCTTACCAAAGCATGTAAACTGATATAAATTTTTCAAAAACAAAACTTGAGATGAAATCTCCTATATTTGATGGTAACAATGTTTTTGACATATGCTCCATTTAAATACTTACCACAAATAAAGAAGCAACAAGATATCACATTCTCATTATGACTATTTCATTTTAGATTTCAGTACTAAAAATCTCTTGAACTGCATAAAGTTATTTAAAAAAACAAAAGCAAAATCATAGAACTAATTTTTGCCCTTCATTTTTATTCTGCCCACTACGCAGCAGGCTATGATGCACAAAATATGACGCAGAGGCAGCAAAGACTTTTCAAAACAGTCTAAACATGTTGTAGAATTGTGTGTGGAGGGGCTCTTCCTTTGTAATGAAACACTATTTTATTTGCTTCCAGTAGCACCCACTTTATGCTAGGAAGTTTATCAACATAAAAGAAGGCATGGTTCATGCCCCAAAGAGATTACTGTGCACCTTTACAGTGCTTTTCATCTTAGCATCTCAATGCTTTACAAACATTAAGCTTCATAGTACCACATGAGGCAGGAAGAATAGTCCAGGGCTGTGGGAGACCCAGGTTCAATTTTCTGTTCTACCACAGACTTCCTACGTGCCCAAGGCAAGTCACCTAGTCTCTCTTTGCCTCAATTCACCATCTGTAAAATGGTCATAACAGCACTGCCCTACCTTACGGGGGTATTGAGGATAAATACATTAATGATCGTCACATACTCAAATACTAGGGTGATGGGGGGGCCATATAAATATCCAAAACAGATCCATTTTATGAATGGGTAAGTGAGGCAGGCAATTTAAATGACTACTTCAGGGTCAATGAATTATTGGAAAAGCTAGAATAGAATCCAGTCATTCTGACTTGCATTCCTTTGTTCTGATCACTAGAAAGTACTTCCTGCTCCCCTTCTGAGCACAGGGGAAATGTCAGTGAGGGGAGGAGGAGCTTGTTTCTCCGGCTAGTTCTAGGAGACTTGTACCAAGTTGAGTAAATCTGTGGTTTTAGCCTTGTTCTTTGACACTAAGAGGCAGTCAGATGTGAAAAGACTCTAAAAGAAATTACAGTTTATACCTATCAGTAACTTCCATTGAAGAAACTTTTGAGTGTTTCACGGTTATAAACGTTAATGTTTGCTGCAGTGCTCTTCTCAAGTACTCAAGCTGTTATTCTTTTCCTTCCCTAGTTTTTATCATTTTATCATTTTCTTCCCCTCTCATTTCCTCCTCTCTAGGGATTCGGTATGTTGCTAATGGAGGAAGCAGAAAGGATAGCCAAAGAAGAGCATGGGTCATGGAAAATTGCAGTCATTTCAGGTATCTTTGCTTAATTCTTCTTCAAAACTTAATCTACAAACAAATTAAATAGCAAAAAACTTTGTTAATGCAGAGTTAAGATCTCCCGGTGATAGCTTGTGCCCTTCCAGAATGTCGAATTCAGCAAAACTCAAACTCAAACTTGTGGAAACCAGGTTAAGGTGAATGCCTGTGTAACCTTAACTCTGCCCCCTGAAGCTGGCAGTAACCACTGGGAATTATCTACATGCGCACCAACTTCATTCACTGTGATAGATGTAACTATTGAATTGTGGAAGAATAAGTGGGAGCAGCTTGGAAGAGCTGCAATTATGATATGAGGAGATCTGGGTCTGAGTACCCCCATGTGTGTTATCAAGGGAAAGAGGCTCATATGTAGCATGAGGTTCCAGTCTGCCTCATTTAATACAGAATTGTGTAGGTTGTGTCAGTAGGCGGGCACTGGAGTCTTCTTGCCGGAGGTATTGTCAGCAGTGAGGTGGGATATTGAGAGCAGGCCGTGGATTTAATGATCGTCAAGGAAAAGTGTAGGTTTAGGTCATATCCTGTGTGCATGTGTGAAGGTATTACAAAAGGGTATGAAGTGATTGTTAAATTTTACAAGTGTGGTACTCTCTTGGGGGGGAAAGGGTCAGTGTTTGAGCATAGGTCCAGTGCAAGTATCTCCTGTCCAGTACAGTGAAAAGACAAAGTGAGAATGTGTGTGTTATGGGCATAGTGAGGCATTGCTCAAAGAGGGTATAGTTAAGGTTGCATGAGCATTTACCTTAATTGTGTAGTTCCTGGCTTTCAGCAGTTTGAGTTTTGCTGAAGTTGACATTCTGGAAGGATACAAACATCACCAGGTAACCTTTATTCTGTGTTAACAAAGTTTTTTGCCATTTAATTGCGTAATTTTTTAAACCGAAAAGAGAAATGTTTGTTGGCAGGAATTAGAGGTCAGTTAGACAGTTGTTGTTCTCACCAAGGTTTGTAGTTGATATGCTACTGGGGCTAGGTAATAGTCAAAAAACCTGGCTTTTATATTGTGCTGCTTTTCATCAGTAGATCTCAAAGAACTTTACATTATCCCCATTTTACAGATGGGAAACTGAAGCACAGAGAGATGAAGTGACTTGCTCAAGGTCACCTGGCAGGCCAGTGGCAGAGCTAGGAATAGTTCCAGTCCAGTGTTCTTTCTACTAGGCCACACGGTTGCTATGTGATTCCTCAATCCCCCTCCTGTACATTTTGTTATAGTGGAATGGGCGTAATGGTCATGCTTTGAAATGTTTGTCATGTGTATGCAGTGTTGTTGTAGCCATGCCAGTCCCAGGATATTAAAGAGACAAGGTGGGTGAGGTAATATCTTTTATTGTACCAACTTCTGTTGGTGAGAGAGACTAGCTTTTGAGCAATGTGTAGTTGCTAACAGGGCCAGTGAGAGAAATCTCATTAATGGTCTATGTCCATTTTTATTACAGGATTGTTACAGTCACTTTAAGCATGAGGGAGACTGGTGTGTCTCTCCTTCTCTACGCCCCA